CGAGGTGCACCCCGCGGCGGTCGGGAGCCACTTGAGGACCTGATTCTGCCCGGAAGATCACCTCCTGCACTGACTAAACTGGGGCTTCAGCTGCGGAAGGGAAGGACATCCTTTGTGTCTTTTCCCGGGGCTTGTCCCCCTAGACACACTGAGCACTGTGATTTTCCTTATAGGAGGAACTGATGTTTATGTAAACCGAACTCTTAAAATTTCGTGCAAAATTGAAACGGGAGATTATGGAATTAGTTTTGTTAGGTTATGCACTCATGAATAAATCTTAGAATGGGTCTCAAGAAATCATTTAGGTCAGCCTTTTAGGTAGAATTCGCTGGTATTTTTTAGAATTAAAGCTACCTGTCTGGTACGATGATGTGAAGATTGAAGTCTATGGAATATGGTGTTTTAGAGCTCAAGATGGGAAAACAAGATAGGATTCCAAGTCCCAGTTCACACATTCGCAGTGTTACCTTGAGGCTCCACATGCTCCAGTTTCCTAATCGGTAGCCTGGGAATAGTACCAGATTATAGGGATCAAATAAACGATCAGAAAATACTTTTTAAAATTCTCTGCTGAAGTATAATTTCATAGCTTAATAAATATGGCATGGTCTGTTAAAAATCAGCGAATAAAGTGTTGTTTAGATTAAAAAATTAGTCAAATTAGTATCGAAATTGTTACGAAGTGCATGTAGACAAACCCTAAAGTCTCAAAGAGCAAAACCTCCCCCTTCCCCATTCACCATGTCATGAAGTATTGTAGCGATGACCCAGGAACTCTTGAGATATGTAAAGCAGTTTAGGTTTAGCCTTGGATTATGCTTTTTAAATTTTTGTATCAACTTTAAAAATCTTCATTCCCAGTGTCTACTACTTGTTGCTCTCAATTGCTTGCTTCTAGCAGCATCTCCTCCCTGTTTGTATTTTAGTCCGCTGTACAAGTTGGGAAACTAAATTGTTGAAATTGCCCAAAGAATAGTCAATTGAACGAGAACTTGATGATCCTAGTAAAAACGAATTTGGTGTATCGTTTTTGTGATATCATTTGTGGCAATTTGGGAAACTTTCTTCTTTTGGATTTTCTGAGTTGTGACCGAGTAAGTCTTATACCATTTGTTATTCATTCACTAGGCATTTATTGGGCTGTTAGGCTTATATGGGCCTTGTAAATGCATGCTAACTTCACAGTTAAATTGGAAAGGTTCTGGAGAAATATTTAGGGAGGGTTAAGGTTTAGTTTTTAAAATCAGTCACCCTAGTGTTGATGATGAGATTCAGCTTCAGACATCTGCAATTCTATTTACTGAAATTTCCTAGTTTTGCAGTACTTCAGCGCACCTTAAGATCCTAAAATAATTTTTTGTAAACCAAATCTATTTCATTCCTTTCTAAAAATCTTTTGAAATTTGATAATCAAATCACATACTATTTTAACTTTCCCAGCATATTAATTGGGCACCAGCAGAATTTTACTAAATGGGGATGGAGTGAGATAAAGGAAAGTAACTTTAAGTATGGCTTTATTTTGTAAAATAACTCATCAAGACATTTTGATGTTAATTTCTGATTGCCCAGTTAATGGATTCTTATTTCTATCCAGAATGCTTTGTTCAATGTATTTTGTTGACATGTCGAATACTCTTATTTTCCAAATATAGTTTACAGGTGTTGCTTTTGACTAAATTTTTAACTTGTACAATGAAGTAGGGAATTCATCTTCACTAGTGCATCTTCATTACTAAGGGTACAGGATCTGGAGTCATGCAGGAATGGCTGCATAGTCTGTGGTAACCTGTGCAAAATGCAAATAGAGGGTTCTTTGTTTAAAAATTGTTAAGAGTTTCAATTCTGTGGCAGCAGAGAGTAGAACCAGGTGTGAGGCCCAGGGCAACTGCAGTGGGGCCCAGTGCCTATGAAGCCGGCTCTGTTGCCTGGTTTTGAATCCTTACTCTGTTCCTTACTGGCCCTGTTATCTTGAGCAAGTTACTGTGCCTATTTCTTGGTCTGTAAAATGGGGATAATAATGAAAGATCTCTTGTATTTTTATGAGTTAACAGGTACAAAGCACTTCATAAATTTTAGCCAATACTATTTTTTTATGATCATTCAGGGAATAGGACCATCTGGTTAAATAAAAGCACAGGAAAATATTAGTATTTACTGTTTAAAATTCATTAGTTAAAGGCTTTGTAATCCTAATTCTCCTGTGTACCTCCTCTCCCCCTTCTCTCTTGGAAATTATTAACTGTATTTTGTGTGTTTTCTAGACTACATTTTATTGTAAACTCAGGCAACTTTATAGGAAAAAGTAATCTACTTACTTTAAATTGTTCTAATGTTCATCGAAATTCCCTTTTGAGCTTTCTTTAAAGTTCATGATTACAACTGTATGTTAAATAAAATGAACATCAAACTGTTTAAATAGTGGTCTTGCCCTGAGGAACTAAATTTTTAACACTTTCGGGCTTCTGTATTTAATGTATACATTTTACTCTATTGATAAATATTTAGCCTGTTTATCTGCCTACCTGAAAAAATGTTGTTACCCATGTTTGCGATGAGAGAATACCCAAAAGCCTCAGGGATCCAATTACCAGGGACAAACACTAAAATGCATGCATTAAAGTTAACCGATACAAAATCTGTTTCAAGTGGACTGTAAGCTTGTTAAATTTGATATGAATGTGTGGTTTTTTAAAATGTTTGTTTATTTCTGAGAGAGACAGAGCATGAGTGGGGGAGGGGCAGAGAGAGAGAGGGAGAGAGAGAGGGAGGGAGGGAGGCTGGCTCAGAATCTGAAGCAGGCTCCAGGCTCTGAATCTGAGCTGTCAGCACAGAGCCCCACGTGGGGCTTGAACCCACAACTGTGAGATCATTACTTGAGCTGAAGTCCGATGCTCCAGGCGCCCCAGATTGTGTGTGCGTGTGTGTGTGTTTAATGTTTATTATTTTGAGAAAGAGAGAACATGTGGGGGAAGAGCAGAGAGCGAGAGGAGGGGGAGAGAATCCCTCTGTGCTGACAGCACAGAGCCTGATGTGGGGCTTATCCCACAAACTATGAGATCATGGCCTGAGCTGAGGTCAAGAGTCAGACACTTAACTGAGCCTCCCAGGTGCCCCAATATGAACGACTGTTTTAATATTTTAATCATCACAATTTATTTCCTTTCCTTACTAGTCTCAGAACCAGATATAGTTGTTTTGTTTTTTACAGCTTAACATATTTAAGTCCTTTTTGAGGGGGAAAAAACCCTTGGTGTTCTACATAATAAACTATGATTTTTTTTTTCTATCCAAGAATGTTTCAGTTTAATATAAACATATAACCTGTCATCTTTTTTGTAGTCTCTGTCTGTACCCAGCACAGTGCCTGACTCATGAATTAATTTAAAGATGAAAAAAATAACAAAGATTTATAAACATGAATTTTAATTAGCTGCTAACTGAAGTGTATCTTGTTGAGCACTTATAGTATGCCAGGCACTGTTAAGTGCTGTATATAGTAATTCATGTCCTTCTAATAATTTCATCTCCATTTTACAAATGAGTAAACGGATTGTTAGAGTTGAATACATTAGCTATAATCACATTTGACATTTGGACACCAGCTTGACTCCAAAGCTCATGCTCTTTTCCATCTTAAGTTTAAATCCTGACTCCACTAACTTTGTGATCTTGGGCAGGTTACTTCGTTTCCTAGTCTGTTTAAATGGAGATAATAATCATCCCTATCCTGTAGGATTGTTGAAGTAAATGAATTAGTAATGTGTGAGGTTCTTTGAATAATGTCTGACCTATTGTAAATGCTGAACAAATGTTAACTGCTGTTATTATACCACACTACCTTCCCAAAGCCTCTACTGTAAGTGCAGCATTACCTGTATGGTTGTCAGTTACACATGCAGAGGTTTAATCCACCTTTAAGGAAAAGTTCAGACTAATTTCCCTTAAGCATATCATGACTTAGGAAATAGGGAACATAATTGGAGTGAGGTTATTGGGAAAATTGTCATCAAATAGACTTTAATTTTTCCTGTTTGTTTCCTTTTGTTATGTTAATATTATGGATATATGTCTTTAAAATCTTTGTTTCAAAGGAAAGCTAGAAGCAAGTATCAAATAGAATAGTTTTTTTTAACTGGGTAAAGGAATAGAAATGAAAGTTAGGGGTTGCTTTACAGTCTCCTAATAATTGTTAACGAAGATTCTGTTCTTGCAACTCTGGGTTCCACAGACGTGCCACTGCCCCCATTTTTATGTTTTATATAATTTTTTCATTCTGTCCTTGTATCTGTTGTTTAGGCTGTTTTATTAGACCACACCTAGTAAGAATCTACCAGTTTGTGAATGTTCAAAAAAGAGGATAATACTAAAACTGATTATTTTTTAATAGTATGAAAAACACTGGCTCTTCTCACGCTTCCTAATTGCAGCTGAGAAAATTACGTTATAGGTTCTTAGAAAATCTGGTCTGAAAACAGAATCCAACAGATACCCTTAATATGAATCTTTACTAGCTGAGACCAAATACTACAGTGAATGTGGAGTAAATAAGCCAGTTTATCAATTATCTTCTGTTTATGATTCATATAAAAACCAAGTAGTATGGCCAGTAAGTCTTTCTTAGTGGTAAGACCAACAATCTCTTAGCCCAGTAATAAAAAAAAGTAAAGCCCATGAAAAGTCAGCTAATCACAGTGCTATGCTAGCACCAGCCGATAGGAAAAATATTTTAGAAGAGTTGCTAGAAAATACGGTTTTAAAGTTTAAAACTTACAAATTTAGTCATTTGTTTACTATCTGATGTTAACCATAAGTCTTCTGTTCATCTGTGATGGTGGCATTTATGCTAGATTCGGGATAGAACATATATTGCATATATGTTAAAAGAATTTTCTAATTGCATTAACTTTTATTAAGAAATAGACTTTCTTACTAGCCATAATTCCCTATTAAATAAATGCCTTACCATTTAAAATTTTATTTTAGACCTTACTACAAAGATGAAACCTGATGAAACTCCTATGTTTGACCCAAGTCTACTCAAAGAAGTGGACTGGAGCCAGAATACAGCAACATTTTCTCCAGCCATTTCCCCAACACATCCTGGAGAAGGTTTGGTTTTGAGGCCCCTTTGTACTGCTGACTTAAATAGAGGTAGGGACTTGGTTTACAAATCTTGGTTAGAATTATACAGTTGGCCCCTGAACAACATGGGGGGTTAGAGGCACTGACCCCTGTGCATTTGAAAATCTGTGTTTAAATTTTGGTTCACCAAACGTTTAACTTACTAGTAGCCTACTGTTGACCAAAAGCCTTGCCAATAACAGAAATAGTTGATTAATACATATTTTATGTTATGTGTTACATACTATATTCTCACAATAAAGTAAGATAGAGAAAAATGTTATTAAGAAAAATGTATTTATGGTACTGTAATGTACTTATTGAAAAAAATCTATGTACAAGTGGACCTGCAGAGTTCAAACCTATGTTGTTCAAGAGTCAACTGTAATTAGCATTCTGTTTTCTCCACAAAATATGATGATGCTGAGAATATTAAAAAATAATATTTGATTTTTGGATTTTTTTTTTGTACTTAATTTCTAAAGTGACTGAGACACTCAATTCCAATATGTATATATAATGGCTAAGACCAGGTATCACTGTGAAATATTTCAAATGTCTTAAGTACAACACTACTCCTCCCTAATTAATCCTTTAAAAAGACTTTTCATAAAGGTAAAATTATCATCTATAATGACAATAAGGAAGAGTCTTCTCTAAGAAGCTGGATGGGAAAGGAGGGTGGAGATAATTTACTTGGAAAGGTTGCAGAGGTTTTGTTTACATATATTTCTTTTTTTTAAATATAAATTCTCCAAAATGAGTTCCTTAAATTTTGGTAATAAGAAATAAACTTTTTAGTTTTCTTTTTAGTAGGAAATCTGAAGAAACTAATTTTGGTCCGACTAATTATTGAGTATGTAGAAGTTAAGATTCTCAAAGTTCTCAAATGTTCACATTAATTTAACATTAATGAAATTAATTAGTATTCCTTAAAACTTAGTCTCAACAATATATTTTAATTCAAAAATAATATCCTATTTGACCATGACGATCTTGCACGTTTAAGTAAATAAAGCCAAAGCATGTATTTGGGAAAATTTGGCATTCCTTGCAGCAAATTTAATGCAAATTACATCGAAAAATATACCTGCTTGTTTTATAAATATTGAATTATTAAGTTCTGCATGACTCCAAAAATCTTAAAAAATCCTTTTCCAGGCAAATTCCTTGGTAAAACCTATTATTCTTTGTTTCATGTAGTGATTATAGAAAGAGTAATGGGTTTCAGTTTAATATTTTTAAATAATAAAATGATTAATTTCAAAATGATTACAGAAAGTTCTGAAAACACAAGTGCCCATAATCCCACCACCTTCACACATTGCTTTTGATCTTTCATTTGGTCTTCTCATGACTTGAAATCTGTTTTTCAAAACTAGGTTTTTTTAAAGTACTAGGTCAGCTGACTGAAACCGGAGTTGTCAACCCTGAACAATTTATGAGTAAGTACTACAGCATCTTTTTCCTGAATGAAAATAAAGGGAAACAAGATTTTTCATTTAGAGCTATGTTCAGTGCCTACTTGTGTTTGTGTTCAAATAGCTGGAAATTATTCATAGGATAATTAGCTATTTTCTTATTTTTTAAAGTTTATTTATTTTGAGAGAGAGAGAGGCGGGGGGAGGGGACAAAGAGAGAATCCCAAGCAGGCTCTGTGCTATCATGCTATCACCTGGGGCTTGGACTCATGTACCATGAGATCATGACCTGAGCCGAAATCAAGAGTCAGATGCTTAACCAACTGAGCCAGATGCCCATTTTCTTATTTAAATGCTTAATGTGGTTACCTGTTCTAGAATCCAAATGTAGCAATTCTCGTGTTTTACAAAATACCTGACTTTTAGACAATTATCGTAGCATTAAATCTAGGTGACATCTTTAGAGATTGTTTTATATTGTATTTTTTTTTTTAATGTTTATTTTTGAGAGAGAGGCCAAGCATGAGCAGGGGAGAGGCAGAGAAAGAGGGAGACATAGAATCCTAAGCAGGCTTTAGGCTCTGAGCTGTCAGCACAGAATGTGACATGGAGCCCAAACTCACAGACCACAAGATCATGACCTGAACCAAAGTTGGCTTCCTAACTGACTGAGCCACCCAGGCGCCCCTTGTAGTATTTTTCATGTGGTTAGGTTTTTCATGGAAATCTCATCACCAAATAAAAAAGAGTGATTGAGACATTATGTTCTCAATTTATTTAGTTTGTTTATATTGAATTTTAAGGTCAACCAGTGTCATAAGCATTTATAATACATATGAGAGATGGGGGTGCCTGGGTGACTCAGTCAGTTGAGCGTCTGACTTCTGCTCAGGTCATGATCTCATTCTAGCCCTGCGTCGGGCTCTGTGCTGATGGCTCAGAGCCTGGAGCCTGCTTCGGATTCTGTGTCTCCCTCTCTCTTTGCCCCTCCCCTGCTCACAGCCTGTCTCTCTCTTAAAATAAATACACATTAGGGGCGTCTGGGTGGCGCAGTCGGTTAAGCATCCGACTTCAGCCAGGTCACGATCTCGCGGTCCGTGAGTTCGAGCCCCGCATCAGGCTCTGGGCTGATGGCTCGGAGCCTGGAGCCTGTTTCTGATTCTGTGTCTCCCTCTCTCTCTGCCCCTCCCCTGTTCATGCTCTGTCTCTCTCTGTCCCAAAAATAAATAAAATAAAAAAACGTTGAAAAAAAATTTAAAAAAAAAATAAATACACATTAAAAAAAAATTTATAATGCATATGAGAGAATGGAAATCCAGAGAGGTCAAATGACATAAGATCACAGATGGTTACTGATAAAGAAAGGATTAGAACCTTCCTGATCCCATCCAGTGCTCTAACACTGTCGTTTCCTGTTTTCTACAATTTCTTCATTTCTGTCACCAGGTAATTTTGTTTTGTACTGTAGCTGATCCTCCCAAGATGAAGATCACTCTTTTCTGATTCTCACTGTTTTCCTTGAATTTATTTCTTCTTCCCACTCCAGAACCCTATCTAGAACAAGACTAGAAATAAACAGTATGTGAGAATATTTGGCTCAGTTTTTATTTCTGAATTCCTCTTTGCCTGTATGTCTGATTAGATGAGAAACCCAAGTACTAAAAATCAATTTGAGAGAAAAGTATTCCATCTTTGCTCCTATTTGCCATGTGACTTTGGGATGATTAGATATGGAAACATTTTTTAGCTACTTCACAAGGTGCTTTCAAAGCAAACAAAAACAATAATTCGGTTTTTTAAAAATTTTTTAAATATTTATTTTTGAGACACACACACACACACACACACAGAGTGAGCGGGGAATGGGCAGAGGGAGGGAGAGAGAGAATGTCAGGCAGGCTCCACACTGTAAGCATGGAGACGGATGTGGGACTTGAACTTGAGAAACCAGGAGATGGGACCTGAGCCAAAACCAAGAGTTGTATGCTTAATCAACTGAGCCACCCAGGTACACCAGATTCTGTTTCTAAAAAAGGAAGTCAGAGTCCTGAAACACCAGATCACTGTCAAAATATTTTGAAGCCAGAAGACTAAAAATTACAGAATGGAGCCATGTAAACATTTTAATTAAAATTTGCTCATGTAAATTGAGCACCTGTGTGGCTCAGTTGGTGGAGTGTCCGGCTTTGGCTCAGGTCATGATATCACAGTTTAGGGTTCAAACCCCATGTTGGGCTTTGGGATTCCCTGTCTTCCTCTCTGTACCTCCTCTGCTCATGCTCTCTCAAAAATAAATAAAACGTTAAAAATTTTTAAAAACAAATAAGAGATTTGCAGTTTTGTTTTCTTTTTAATATTAAGTGTAAAGGTTAAAGAAACTTATTTAAAGTAATAAAGATATTAGAGTTTTCATTCATTAGTCACAGAAGTGGAAGCATCTGTAATTTACTTGCATTGTGTTATTCACCTAAAATAGCTGTTAATAGTTGTACTTTGCTAGCAGATTTTTTTTTAATGTATGGACTGTATTCTAATTGATAGTAATTGCTGATGTTTCAACCTCTTGGTCATTTTTAATATTTTCTTTGAAAACTTTTTTTTAAGTTTATTTATTTTAAGAGAGAGAGAGAGAGAGAGAGAGAGAGAGAGCAAGCATGGGAGGATCAGAGAGAGGGAGAGAGACAATCCCAAGCAGGCTCTGCACTGCCAGCACAGAGCCCAGCGCGGGGCATGAACCCTGAGATCATGACCTGAGCCAAAATCAAGTCAGATGCTTAACTGACTGAGCCACCCAGGCACCCCATAATAATTAATTTTTTCTTTAGAAAACAAAGTAAATTGCCATGGTGAAATCACTTTAAATATTCAATAATGAGTCAGCTAATCCTAATATTTTTATGGCACCTAATAAAGTTTAAAGTCTGCCACATAACACTTGTCCGATTTCCACAGAATCTTTTGAGCACATGAAGAAATCTGGGGACTATTATGTTACAGTTGTGGAAGATGTGACTTTAGGACAAATTGTGGCTACAGCAACTCTGATAATAGAACATAAATTCATCCATTCCTGTGCTAAGGTATGTGTTCACATTAATGCTTATGAATAAAATGAACAGATGTTTTCTAGCAAAATCAACTTTGAGTTTCCATTAGACAAATCTATTTTCTGACTGCTTTTCAATGTAAAATGAGAGCTGTATTGCCCTGGAAAAAGTTTTGCTTCTTAGACATCACTTAGTAACATTTTCGTCTTGTGTTCTCAGAGTTAGGAAGAAGATGTATTAACTATCTGAATTGTTTGCTAAACATTGTTTTGTAAGGTGTCAGATTTGGTATAGTCATAGGGAAACCAAGTCAGCATCATGAAATTTGGCAGTGATGTTTAGAATCCCTAATGCTATTTAAAAAAAACAACAACAAAATACTTTGTATATACAGTAACACAAATTCCCACATCCATTTCCAAGCACTAAAAGATTCAGAATATTATATAGTTGACCCTTGAACAAGATTGGAGTTAGGGATGCTGACACTCTGCAGTCAAAAATCTGCGTGTAACTTTTGACTCCCAAAACTAATGTTGACTGGTTACCCTACAACATAAGCAGTTGATTATGTTATATATATTATATATAGTATTTTTATTTATAAAGCAAGCTAGAGAAAAAAATGTTACTATTTTTTTTTTTAAGTTTATTTGAAAGCGAGAGAGAAGGAACGTGAGCAGAGGAGGGGCAGAGAGAGAGGGAGGGAGAAAATCCCAAGCAGGCTCCTCACTGTCAGCCCAGAGTCTGACACAGAGCTTGATTATGACCTGAGCTGAGATCGAGTCTGATGATTAACTGACTGAGCCACCCAGGCACCCCAGAGAAAAGAAAATGTTATTAAATCATGACAATACATTTACAGTATTGCATTTATTAGAAAAAATCTGCATAAGTGCACCTGTACAGTTCAAACAAACCACATTGTTCAACTGTATTCTGCTCTGTGACATTTCTAACTCCTGATCACTCCTCATGACCCATGAGAACCTAGCTAATCCAGTGAAAATTAGAAACACTTCAAATGTATTCTGAGGTACAAATTTTGGTGGGCTTTCTTTACTAGAAATTAGTAAATTATATTTGGATGTTTGAAAGAAATTGCTCTTAAGCAAGGAGTAAGATGATGGAACATGACAAGATTACATTTTGGTTCTGTGGATTCTGAAATCTGCTTTAAAACAATGGAGTGGTAAGATTTTGGATATAGACAAAACAAGATTAGGCTACAAATTGGTTCATTATATTATTTCCTCTATAATAAGTAAAAAAAAGGGTTGCATTTTGGTTTCTGTGAACTTCCAAGTTTACAAAATATTGTTATTGAATTCTGTCACTTGTTGATGTAGCTAAAAACAAAACTACATGCTTAGTCCCTTAAACGCTGTAAATATTTTCAGAGAGGAAGAGTAGAAGATGTTGTTGTTAGTGATGAATGCCGAGGAAAGCAGCTTGGCAAACTGTAAGTAGGCAGAAACAAGGTAACCCTCATTAAATTAGATACTTTTTCTGTTTTAGTTAATAGTATCTTACCCAGATATTTGTTAAAAAATGTTTTCCTGTTTGAAGTTCTTTTTAGGTGTCCTTAATTAAGCTCACCCTGTAGTTTAAATTAAATTTAATGGAAGAAACAAAGTATTTTTGTTTTATCATGAAGTTAGGAAATTGGGAGTGTACTGTCTTATAGACTAACATTTTTATTGACTTTTAATATTTTCATACTAATAGGAAACAAACTTTTGGCCGAGTCAAGTGATTCACCTATTTCCCAGTCTTATTTAAAAACAAAGGAAATGTCCTCAGCCTCTTAAGTTTTAGGAACATATACTAAAATAGCCTTTCCTGTATAATTCTCTATGCATTTATCTAAATCTTTTGTTTATTTATTTAGAGAGACAAGAGACAGCGTGAGTGGGGGGGAGGGGCAGAGAAGAGAGAATCCCAAGCAGGCTCCACACTTCAGCGCAGAGCCTGATGTGGGGCTTGAACTCAGAGTGAGATCATGATCTGAGCTGAAATCAAGAGTCAGGCGCTTAACCGACTGAGAGCAACCCAGGCGTCCCTATCTAAATCTTTTAACTTGCTTAATACCATCTCTTCTGAATTTTAAGGAAGTTGCTCAATAAGTTAGGACCTGCTATGTGCCAGATATTATTTGAGATATTTGGGATACATCAGTGAACAAAACAGACCAATTTCTAATATTCTAGTCCACTTAAATGTCATACCTTTTATAGTTTCCTAACTTCAGTCAAGATGTTCTGTCTTCAAAATGATACAACTTTTCAGTCTGTGCGAACATGAGAAAACCCTTTGGGTAAATTTTTGTAGATCTAGTTTTTTTTCCCTAAGGCCATTAGAATCACATTCTTATACTGGGGTTTGGATTCTTTAAGGATTTGAAAAATGTATACTTTTTTTGTTTTGTTTCTATTTCATATTATTTAGAGCAATCCAGAAGTAATCTGATATATACTTTCACAAATATTAGCTTTAAAAATGATACAGAACAAAGCTTTTACTCATGTTATGTGGAAATGTTGTCTGTTCCTAAGTAGTTTGAATAGATTTAGGAAAAAGATTCAAAATTTTGGCCATATTTTTTAAAAAAGTTGACAGTCTTTAGTGTTAACATGAATCCTTTTTTTAATTTTAATGTTTGTTTATTTTTGAGAGAGAGAGCAAGCAGGGGAGGGGCAGAAAAAGAGAGAGAGACCCACAGAATCCGAAGCAGGTTCCAGGTGCAAGAGCTGTCAGCACAGAGCCCAATGCCGGTCTTGAACTCACGAGCCACGAGATCATGACCTGAGCTGAAGTTGGAGGCCTAACTGACTGAGCCACCCAGGTGCCCCAGTGTTAACATTAATTTTAGGTTGAATTTAGTATTGTTCTATTAATGTGCTAGAGACAACTTAGATAAGTTATATTTGAAACAGTCAAATGCTTTGGGTGATTTAAAGCTTGTCCAGTTACAATTTGAATATTTAAATGAATACAGTGAGAAAGGTCATGACCTAAACCCATTTCTAATATAAATTTGAAATTTTATTTATATAATATTTATTCATTTATATTAAGTTACTCAAATGCATTTTCATTAACAAATGCTCTATGCTTTCCCCCTGCTTTTTGAATTGCAGGTTGTTATCAACCCTTACTTTGCTAAGCAAGAAACTGAACTGTTATAAGATTACCCTTGAATGTCTACCACAAAATGTTGGTTTCTATAAAAAGTTTGGATATACAGTATCTGAAGAAAACTACATGTGTCGGAGGTTTCTAAAGTAAAAATCTTTTAAGAAAGACATTTGTCAAAGGAGTTAATGCAACAAGGCAATACTCTTCTTAGAGTTAAAATATTTTGTTGCTGCAACCCAGTGACCTCCATAAATACTGGATTGAAAATAACATGGTAATTCAACAAGTATAATGACACTTAGAAGATTACTTTGGCCTGTGGGACATGCTGTGAGTTTAGATTACAAATGAGTCTTATAAAGGGGATGATTTTTAACCAAAGGAATATATTTTTAACTTGAATCTTTTCTTGCATTGTATTTTTCTAAAGTTTGGCTTCATTTCTTTGTAGTTAAGAGTATAGGTAGTATAGTTATGTGTCTGCAATCTGTACTGCTCATTAAAAAAATATATATATACCATAAATAAGGCTATATCACATTCACAAAATTAATACTTTTGTTTCAATCAGAGAAACACCAAAAATCACTTAGGAGTGTTATCATTTTTCCATATATTACGTGAAATTGGGTAAGATAACTAAATGTAGTGCAGACCAACATTTGCTGGTCCTAATACTGAATTGGCAAACAACCTGGTTAGCCTTTTTAGTAAGTAGAAATGAAAATTATAAAATGTGACAGGATTCAAAATAAAACAATTTAAGTGTACATCTGAAAGTTTATATAATTCTTATGCAGTTAAGGCACCACCTGTCTTATATGTGAAATATAATTATTCATTTGTTTAAAATACCTAAGAGCAAATATAAGGTACTTTTTAACAGTGAATGAGCAAATCTTGGCATATTGTGTATTTCTAACCTGATTTCTCATCTTTTCATTGATGTCTTCTAAGTAACATTTTTATGAAAGATTACAAAATTGAGTGGAATATTTTAAATAAGTATCATACTGCATTTGTTAAATCCTTGCAATGTTGATGGAAGCTTTTCTATTTACTGTGATTGTTATGGTACTATTATTCTGGTCACTATCTTGTTTTGATTTTATTTATTTTAATTATTTTTTTTAGTTGGAAAATTGGATATTTTATTAATGGTTCTAATCTTTTGCATTCCATGTTACATTAAACCTGTTCATATGATGAAAAGTCTTTCATTTGAATCCTAATGTCTGTGTTTTTCTTGCATCTTTTGTTGAACTATTAGGTTATGTCCTGGTTCAGAAGATTTCAGTTTTGTGTACTCTTTGTAAAATTAATTGGGAAAGTAAAGACCCACCACTTGTCATCCCTCTCACTCACACATACCTCAACTGGATTTAGGATTTCTGTCCTTGTAGTAAGCTCAAGTTGGCTTTCTAAAACCATAGAAACCCTTCACCAATAGAGGGTGCACTACTTACCTGCTAATGACCTATGCTTATGAATTGATCTGTTTCTAGTAAAAGCAACAAACCTGCTTTTGCCTTTTCAGCTAGTTTTGCCTTTTCAGGAGTCCTACAACCTTGGCACGATGGTAGCTTTATTAAGTACATTATGGTACTTAAAACCCATGTTAAAAAAAATAAACCTAAAAGAAGGCAAAATTATCTGCTTTACCATTCTTGTAAATAATTTGAAATAAAATTGTCTACAAGGTTGGTATTTCAGTAAATCCCTTTAAATAGTATTCTTAAGGTCTTTTAAACCCTCCCTATAAGAGTTATAAAGAATATAAAAATTGTCATTGATGAAAATGGTGATTTGTATTTAGCTTTATTTTTATTTAAAGTTTTAACCTCAGTGTGCAAGCGGGGATGAGGGGCAGAGGAAGAGAATCTTAAGCAGCCTCCACACTCAGCCAGTGTGGAGCCCTACATGGGGTTCAAACCCATGACCCTGGGATCATGACCTGAGCCAAAAGAGTTAGATGCTCAACTGACTGAGCCACCCAGGCACCCCTGTATTTAGCTTTATTTTAAAAGCTGGTCAATTTGTAGCAATGTGGATGGAACTGGAGTGTGTTATGCTAAGTGAAATAAGTCAGGCAGAGAAGATACCATACGTTTTCACTCATATGTGGATCCTGAGAAACTTAA